CACAAAGTGTCCCAAGTTCAAATGCAATGTAGTTTCAATAAGTTTTTCAGCATGCAGGTGTAGTTCAGTTGTTGACTCATCAAAGGAAGAAAGAAAAAAAAAGAGTCTGGAAACAGTTCTGTGAATGGCTATCTGAGTTTGTGGCTTACCTGCCAGTTGCTATCAGCCTGTTGTTGCTGGAGGCTTTATTTATGCAGATCTCAGGAGTGAGCTTAACACTCAGTCCCTCGGGCTTTGTTTACTTAGAGTTCTCCTTGGTGTGAAATCCACTAGCAGCTTTCCCCTTTCCAAGCTTTCCCCTTTCCAAGCACACTGGGGGAGGTGACACTGCACCCGCTTTCTTAGGCCTGTGTGTTTATTTACAGTTCACATGGGAATTGTGCCTTCCCCCCTCTCCTGTGTAGTTTTCCTCCCACCGCCACTTTTACAAGCTTTCCTGCTCCTGGTTACTGGGCATGTGCCGCCACTCCTGCCTTCTCCAGCCGGCTTGTTGTGAGGGATTTCCCTTCTCCCACTCTTCTGCACTCAGGACACCCCACCCTCTTTGATAGTCTTTTTTGTTGTTATTATTACTCAGTTTTTTTCCTTTTTTCCCCTGGGTGGGGGGTTGGTCTGTCCAGGGGGCTATGCTGATCTGGCCCAGGGTCGTCTGTGGGAGTACCATGTACCGCTTAGCTCACCTTGTGGTCTGTGTCTTCCCAAGCCATCTGGGTGCTGCCATCTGGCAGCAGCATAGGAGCCCTCCTGGTTTCCCGTATTAATGTGAAGTGGAGATGCTATGCTAGAAAAGGAGGGAGACTCTCCCAAACAAGTTGTTTTTTTAAAAACCAAAGTTCAAAGTAGATTACAGTTATGTGATCTTTTTAGTCATTACACAATATACAGACATACCCACTAAATGACTTATACTTCCCAAATGGTGAAATACGGATTTTCAATGAAAGACTAGACATAAAAACTTTTAGAAGCAGAGTATTTTTTCTGCAAAACCCAACTTCAGACATACATTCATGTTTACATATATATCTTAAGAACACTACAATTGCAGTACAAGGTTCATTCTGTAAAAAGATCTCAAAAGGTAATTTTCAAGAGACTCTGTGCATTGTGCTTTCAGATAAAAATCCTAAAAGATGAGTTGCTATGATGATAGGTTTTAAAACACACATATAGAGATCAAAAGAGGCTGTACAGAAATGCAAATAGTTGTGTTCACAGACTTTGTTGGTAAAGTTGTAATCAATAAAAGCTTAAGTGTCCCAGTGACTGAAAGAAAGTAGACACAGGGTACCAAAGGTTTTCTAGACCTGGCTTAAGAGTTTAAAAATCATCTCCACTCATCATCCCTGGTGTCTGATCCTTCCAATCTGGGCAGATCACTCACAGTCAGACATCAGGGGCCTTGGGAGAAAAGAAAAAGTGATTTTCCCTACTAACTTAAGCATTACCCAGAGGTAAGGCCAGGGTGAACCAACCAACTAAACAAATTCCAACCTTCCTTTAGAACTCAGACCAAATAGGTCAACCTTCATCTAGAAAGGTGTTTTTTTGTTGTTTTGGTTTTTTGTTTGTCTGTATTGTGGCACTGGTGTTGAACTCAGGCCTCATGCTTGCTTGGCAGGTGCTCTTACTACTTGAGCCACTCCACCAGGCTTTTTTTATGATGGTATTTTTCAAGACAAGATCTCACTGTTGGTCTTGACCTTATTTCCTGTCTTTGTCAGCAAGCAAACTACAGATTGTTCCTTCAGAGTTTTAGTTGTCCTAAATTCTGCAAACTAGTACTTGCTCTCAGTCCAAGTGTTGAAACCATTTCTGGAATTCACCTGCTTTTGTTAAGTCTGTAGTGCACATGGACACAAATACACATCTGCATGCATATATTAAAATATATTTATATAAAATATATAAATGTAAATATATAAAATAGTTTCTAATATTTGGTTTAGACTTTATAGTTTCTATCCATTGGGCTTTTTGTGTAACAGAAACTATTTGTTCATATTGAAATAGAAAACCCTGTGTCAAAGCACAGTTCAAATACTTCTTCTCACACACTTCTTCAGTTACTTGTTCACATGTCTATCACAGTAACCAGTGAATCTCCACTCTCTCAACACTTCATGAAATGTTCCACACATAACTTGTTACAGCTGTTGATCAGTCCAAAGTCTCAAATTAGCTTTTCAAAATCTTTTACTATAATAGCCTTATTCTCATCCACACTGTAGTTTTCTTTTGAAACAAGGTCTCACTATGTAGCCAAAGCTAGCATCAAACTCTCAATTCTCCTGCCTTTGTCTCCCTAATGCTGGGACTATAGCTGTGCACCACCATACCTGGCTTTAAAAAAAATCCAACCTGAGCTACATAGCCAGACCCTGTCTCAGGGGAAAATTGTCTTTCTCATTGCCCTCCAAGCTTAAGCTATTTTTTTTTTACTTATAAACTTAAAAAAAAAAAAAAAAAACCATTCGTGCTGGTTAGGTATACAGACTCCTTGTGCCTGTTCTACTGACCACACAGAAAGTTCTCTGGAATGTCTCCCTGATACAAATTATGCTCAAGAAAAGTCCACGATTGCCAAGTCTGCCTCCATGGAGCAGAAAATACACCCACATGTGGCATCTCTCACTCACTACCTGTGATGCAAAGACTAGTTTTCTAGACTATGCCAAACACAGATTGGGTTTTTCTTTGCTTTCAGTAGTTGGGTGGGGGAAGGAAAGAAAGCTCTTCTAACAGTAAGATACCCAATGCTAAACAGAAAAAGCAATGGAGTCAAAAAAGTTATTTTGCAATCATCATGGTAATAACTGATTCAGACAAGAATCAACAATGAATACTAAAGCTAATGGGTAAAGACTCATGAGGAGTTGTGCATGGTGGTTCACACCTGTAATCTCAGCACTTGGGAGGTGGAGACAGGAGGATCAAGAGCACAGCCAGCCTGAACTGCATAGGGAGACCCTGTCTCACACCCCTTCCCTCAAAAAAGGACTGAGGTATTTACAAAGTCTCAAAGATTTTTCATATAATACTAATACACCAAGCAAGGTGAGATTACAGAATTACAGGAAATTGGGAGGTAAAGGTCAGGAGGATTGTGGCTCTAGGCCAGCCCTGGCAAAATGTGAGCAAGACCCCAACTCAACAAACAAGCCAGAAGTGATGACATGATGAGCTGCAATCCCAGCTATGCAGGGTGACAGCAGGTAGGAGGATCTTCTAGGTAGAAGGATGGTGATCTGAGGTTGGTCCCAGGCAAAAATATAAGACCCAAGTAACTAAAGAAAAAGGGGCTGGAGGTGCAGCTCAACTGGCAGAGCACCTGCCTAGCTAACATGAGGCCCTGAGCTCAAGCTCCAGTACAGCCAAAATAAGTGTCTCCTTGGAGATCTCTCATTTCTCTCCCTCCCTTCATTTTGTTCTTTTGGCAGTGCTAGGAATGGAACCCAGGATCTTGCATACGTCAGGAGGCACTCTACCACTGAGCTACATCCCCACCCTCTGCCCACCTTCCTCAACAAGTTCTGAGTATGCACCAATGTCAGTAATCATAAGCTTACATTCTCCCATTTCTACATAGTGTTCCATGGCATGGAGAAGCCACAAAATACATTGACAATCTGACTAATAAATGCAAAGCTTGCATTTATGAAGCATCTTTTCTATTCCTGTAACAGATTTATGTGCTATAGGAGATAGAGCAATCGAGTAAGATTTTAGCTAAGAGATTTCTTTTATTCATAATTTTGTTTCAGTTTTTCTGCTTTGGTAATGTTGTTAATCATCACTGAAAATAAGTTTTGCAGGCCAAGGTGGTTCATGCCTGTAATTCCAACTACTCAAGAGGGAGGAGGATCTTGAGTTTCAGATGAGCTGGTGTAAAGCTAACTAATAAAACATGAAAGGGTTGGGGCATGGCTCAAGTGGTTGAGCACTTGCCTAGCATGCACAAGGCCCTGGGTTCAATTACCAACACTGCAAAAACAAAACAACTCCTTTGTAAACCATTGTTAATTGATAGTTTTTGTAGATTATTTCCACACTTTAGGTATACAGACGTCTATTCACTGAGCCATACCAGAAAGCACTAACCTAACTGTCTCATAATGTGAGCACTTTTCCTATCACTATAAATGTATATGATTCGAACAAACCACAATTTATTAAAATATTTAACTAGTTCTCTTTTTTTGGGGGGGCAGGTAAGTTTGCAGCACTGGGGTCTAGTTCTTGCCAGGCAGGACACAACAAATGAGCCACTTCACCAGTCCTTTTGCTTCTAGTTTATCAGACAGGGTCTCATGCTTTTTCCCAGACTGACCTTGGACCATGATCTTCCTATCTTTGCCTCCTGAGTAGCTGGATTGTAGAGAGTAGCTGGGATTGTAGATATGAACCACCACCTGTGGTCCATTTCACTTTTTAAAACTTTTTTCATAATATCCTTGTGTAACAATCATTCTCACATTTGTTATAACTCCTGAGCAAAGTCAAATTGATACACATTGGCCAGCTGATCGCCCCAAAGTTCATGTTGTTCACTTATCCCAGAGAAGGTGATGAACACAAGATGTTCAGTAAGTGGAAACCCACCTAAATAATTTACATTTAATGAAATTTCAATCAAAATCTAACAGGTTTCCTGGAATGTCCCTCAATCTTAGGAAAAGTAATAGCAACAGAAGTGAGGAACTTGACAAAATTAACGCCTTTGGACTCTGACTGCTATGGTTTCAATGTACTACCCAAAGTCTACCTTTGAAAACTTAAAGTCTCACCTCTCAACACTTGCATTGGTGATTAAGACTTCATTAAATCATGAGGGCTCTGTCTTGTGAATGGATCAGTGCTGTTATTGGGAAAAGAGGTTTTGGGTTTTTTTGCAGTACTGGGGTTTAAACTCACTGCCTCATGCACACTAGGCAAGCCTTCTGCCACTTGAGCCATGCCTCCAGTCCTTTTGCTTTTAGTTTGTTTTTTCAGATGGGGGTCTCATGCTTTTTGCATGGGCTGGCTTTGGACCACAATCCTTCTGCCTCCATCTCCCCAGTGGCTGGGACCACAGGCACGTGCCATTACACCTGGCCAAGAGTAGGTTGGTGTTCATGGGTGTTAACTGGGGATTCCTCCTTACCCTCGCCACCTCCTTTAGTCCACAACATGAGGTGGTAAGAAGGCCCTTAGCAGATTTAGCCCCTTGATCCTGAGCTTCCCAGACTCAAGAACTATAAGAAATAATTCTTTGTTCTTTGTAAATTACTTAGCCCCAGGGATTGTGTTATAGCAGCACAAAACAGAACAAGACACAGCCAAAGTCCCTTCCAGAGAGGCTGACATGACATCACCTGCTCTAAGGCATGACTGGAAGTAATAAGAAATCAATTGTTAACAATTCAGGTTTACTAAGAAACTTCTTGTCATTGGTAAGTACTTCTAACATTTTCAGTAAGGTATAGTAAAACCCTATCTTCATGAATTAGGCCCCAAAATTACAATCATGGAAATGGCAGTGTCATGTTATTAGATTAATAAAAAAATCCAACATTTTTCAGATTTTAAAATACAAATGACACTAAAGTTACACTGTACACAATTGAGCATTGTACAGGGAAGTGAGGCTGGATGATGGATGGAAGTCACTCAGAAGTCCTTTGTCCAAATTTGTATTCTTGTGGATGGCAGTGTTAATTTTTATACTTTAATATTTTCTGACTGATGTTAAGGCTAATTGCAGGATTCCCGATGAACACAATTTAGGGCAGGGAATTGACTAGCATTTTAAAAAATGGGTCCTAATTATAGGGGCTTTGTCACTCTCTACAGAGCGCTGACCATTTCACAAGCCAAGCACAGCTCTATGAGGCAGAGGTGGTGGGGTAGAACCTCTCCCTACATGAAGTTACACTTTAGGTGGCATCAGTTTTGTCAGTCACCAGGTCCTGCCCACAACCTTCCTTATAGGACCTTTCTCCTGGTAGATGCTGATCAATGTTCAGACTCTGCATGGCACATCTTCAGAATGGCGGCACTTTGGAACTATGGTATAAACACTGACCACATTTATAGAACTGACTTCTCTCATCTGAGATCTGACATCATCTCAACGTGGAGAACTTCCTCCCTGCAGAAGATTCTCTGAGGCTTCTGGTTGTGAAGGAACTGCCCACAGTCATGGGCATGGACTTCTCGATGGCACTGAGGATTCTTCACACCTCGCGCTCTACAAATTCCCTCCTGCGTGGACCCTCTGATGGTAGACAAGATGTGACCTCTGACTGAAGCCCTTACAACAGATGTTGCAGATGTAGGGCCTCTCTCCAGTGTGGACCCTTTGATGGGTGTGGAAGTGCGAGGCCTGACTGAAGCCCTTCCCACACTGCTGACATGTGTAGGGTTTCTCTCCCGTGTGGACCCGCTGATGTGCACTGAGACCTGCGCTCCAGCTGAATTCCTTCCCACACTCCTCACACTTGAACGGCTTTTCACCAGTGTGGATGATCTGATGAACCTGAAGATTCGACCGCTGGCTGAAGGCTTTCCCACATGTATCACATTTGTAGGGTTTCTCTCCAGTATGGACTCTCTGGTGGGCCTGAAGGTGGGAGGCCTGACTGAACCGTTTCTGGCAGGCATCACATTTGAAGGGTTTTTCCCCCGTGTGGACGCTCTGGTGGGCTTGCAGATTGGAGGCCTGACTGAAGCTCTTCCCGCAGGCCTCACACTTATAGGGCTTCTCCCCGGTGTGGACTCTCTGGTGGTTGTGGAGATTCAGGCTCCAGTTGAAGCGCTTCCCACACACTTCACATTTGTATGGTTTTTCTCCGGTGTGAACTCGTTGATGGGCTTGAAAATAGGAGCTCTGACTGAAGCCCTTCCCACACACACTGCATCGAAACGGCTTTTCCCCTGTGTGGACCCTCTGATGGCTCTGGAAACTCGAGGCTGAACTGAAGCCCTTCCCACACTCCTCGCATCTGTACGGTTTCTCTCCTGTGTGGACGCGCTGGTGGCTGTGAAGGTTAAAGCTCAAGCTGAAGCATTTCCCACACTCCCCACATTTGTAGGGCCTTTCTTCAGTGTGCACCCTCTGATGAGTGTGAAGGTTCGAACTACAACTGAAGCGCTTCCCACAGTCCCCACATTTATATGGCTTCTCCCCTGTGTGGATTCTCTCATGGGCCTGAAGGTGTGACCTCTGCGTGAAGCCCTTCCCGCACACCTCGCACTTGTAAGGCTTCTCCCCAGTGTGCACTCTGCAGTGGATGTTCAGATCCGTGCTACGGCTGAAGCCCTTCCCACAGCTTTCACACCTATAGGGCTTCTCTCCTGTGTGAATAGGCAGGTGAGCATATAGGTGTGAGCTCTGATTGAAGCTCTTCCCACACTCAGGGCACGTATAGGGCTTCTCCCCAGTATGGACTCTCTGATGAGTCTGCAGGTTTGAGCTCTGACTGAAACCCTTGCCACACTCATGGCACCAATAGCGCTTTTTTCCTGGGCGAACATTTTGTTGCACAGGAATCCCCGAGGTGTAATTGGGGTCCTCCTCATGGGTACTGCGTGTGGGGGACTTCTTCCCTGTGTGCACCTCCTGATGTAGTTCAAGCCTGGGGCTATTGCTGAAGGCGTCTTCACAGTCGCCACATGGGGAGGCTTTCTGTCCTGTGTAAATGTGACACCGGGTAGGAGGGGAAGCCTTGAAGGTGTCTTTACCACAATCTCTGTTGCTGTGAGCTGCGTCTCTTCCTCTTGTTGTCTTATCACCAGGGTGTGAAATGCAACTTAAAACATCAACACGTGGAGCAAAGAGACATAATTTGTTCTTCATGTGAGTCTGCCTACAATTTGTCTGATGGTTCTGAGTCTCACTGAGGCAAGTTTTACTCCAAGAACTCTGAACTCTTCCAGTTAGAAGTTCTTGATCTTCTTCAATATTGGAATGTGCTCCTCTGAGAGTCACGAGGCTGCTGTCATCTACAAGTGCAATACATTCTTCTGCTCCCGCACACTGCTTGGGGAACAGAGAACTCTTTCCCTGGATATTCATTATGGAGTCTCGACTTCTGGTGAGCTTGTTTACAACATGCCTCTTCATCTGCCAGCATGAAAACTCTCCCAGCGAAAGGCACCTGAATCCTGCTTTGCAAAGAGTCTCCATCTTGTGCTGACTCCCACCACCTGAAAGAACAAAGAATGAGGAATTAAGGACAGAAAATGACATCAGCAAGGCTGTGAACTAGGAAGCTCCAAGTACTCATTTCCTTTTGGGAAGAGACCAACAAAAATAAGCATACGGGAGCTCTGAGAAATAATGGTCTAGAGCTACAAAGGGAATGCTGAATCAAGAAAGAGCCACACATAGGGTGGAAGGAAATCAGGGGTCGGCTCAGCATGAAGGCTTAATTTCTTTTCAAGGTCTTCAGTCTTCCCTGAGCATGTGTCTTGCTGGGCCAGTGTGTGCTTTTTTTCCATGTTTCAGTTTACACAACTGCTTTTCAATGCCTTGGTGTTTTTACTCATGGAGTGGGCTGAAGGAAGCAGAGACTGTATTTGCAACATCCTGGTCCTGTCCATGGGCTACATAAAGACTGATCTGTTTTGCCTGACTCAGAGCCAGGATGAGCAAATACAACAAAAAATGGCAGTGGTTGTCACCAGGGAAGCTGCAGGGTACTACAGAATTTCAGAGTTGTAGGAAAAGTTTATGGGTGTGGGATATAACATCATCAAAGGCCCTGAGAATCCAGAATCTTACTCTGGGAAGCTGAGACCTTTAGAAGCCTTTGTGCAAAGAAGAGAACTGGCAAAACAAGCACACAAGTTCAGTACTACCTAACGAGACCTTAAGCTGTCACCCTGGGCAGACACCATGGCTCAAAACATGCCCTGATAATTAGTGAAAGTTTTCCCTGGAAAATGGGCAAAATGCAAAGACTGAGAAAGATGGCTTTCTTTCAAATGTAAACAACTGAACACTTGAAGCGGAAGATTCACTGAACCTAAAGACAGGTCATTTTGGACAAAAAAGAATGAAGAAAAGTGAATAGAGCTGAAGGGACATCATCAAACAGATAATGTATGCATAATGGGATCCTAGAAGAAAGGAAGAGCTAATGAGATAGTGTAATGGTGTAACTCCCAAAATTTATGAAGTGAATATGCAAATACAAGAAGCTTAAGCTCCAAAAATAAACCCAGAGAGAATGATGAAAGCAGCAAGAGAAAGGAGATTCATCACATACAAAGGATCCTCAACAAGACTGTGAGCAGATTTCTCAGCAGAAACCTTGCAAGCCAAAAGGCAGAGAGATGATATACTTACCATGCTGATAAAAAGAGTGTGCTAATATTGTATCCAACAACACTGTCTTTCAAAAATATGGGTGAAAGTGAGAAATCCCAGACAAACAAAATCCAAGGAGTTCCTCATCATAAGAAATACTACAAGAAGAGCTTAATGGAGTCCTTCAAGTTGAAAGGACACTAAATGGAAGTCAAAATCATGTGAAGATACGGCTCTCCACTAAAGGTTAAGTCTATGGGCAAACACAAAACCCTGCATTATAATTATGATTCATAGTTTCCACTTTTAATTCTTTTACAGGCTTTTTAAGATCAAAGTACATAAAATAATTTTAAACCTATGTTAACAGGTACACAATATATAAAGATGCAATTTGACATTAATACCATTAGAGGGGTACAGAGCTGCAAAAGAGTAGTGTTTGAATGTGACTGAAGTTGATTTTATGATGTTTTACTTGCTCCTCAGATAAAGCATAAAAAAGTAGCAAGAGAGGAAATGAAAGACCAAAAGCTGTAAGACACACAGAAAACAACAAAGTGACAACAGTAAATCCTTAAATATCAATAGATTAAACTCCCCATTAAAAGGACACAGATTGGATTGATGGATTTAAAGACTAAGAAGAAAAGATTGGGGCAAGATGGCAGATTGCTGACACCTCCCCCCACCCATCCCGGAGGCCCTACAATCCCAAAGGAGGAGGAGAATGAGGGTCCTGAAGAACATATAGGAGGTCCTACAGTCAGCATATAGCAGAGCTCTGTTCAGACCCAGAAATACAAAAAACAAGAGAGTATGTGAAGAAACGGTTCACAGGTCTGCACTCCCCATGGCCTTGGAGCCAAATGCCAGTTCTTCAGGTGGGGGAGGGAAAGCTTCCACTACAAGAACCCTGTGGAAAAGGTTGGTGCCCAAAGAAAGGTACCCAGTGTGCAACCTGCTGTGGAAAGCTGCAGGGGCCTGGGGAGCAGAAGCAGCATACTGCATGGTGGCAGCAGTTGACAAAGTTGCTGTGGAGCACAAACCTGCCAGGGGAACACTGGGACCTGGTGAGTACAAGCAGATGTTCACAGAAGTTCCAGGGAACTTGGCGCAGCCTGGCCTAAGAAGTTGCTGAGCACACAGCGGCCACGGAAACAGAGAGGTGCACCTCCAACCAACTCCAGGTCCTCCAGCCAATGATATTTGACAAAAACCTGTGTCTGTGCAAAACTATAGATTGAAGTATTGGGGAGCATGAGAGAGGAGAAAGTTGTAAGAGGGGATGGCATGAGGCTGGCAAGTTGTCAGTATAAACTCCAGAGATCTAACTTAGATCTGCAACATCCCTCCCCCTACCATCATCAGGCACCATTCCAGAGGCAGGTATCCAATTAGACTGTCACCTAGTGCAATGAAAAGACTCAGACATGAAGAAGAGGGGAGACCAACTGCTCAGAAGAACACTAGAATATTCACAGCTGGGCACCAGAGGCTCATGCCTATAATCCTAGCTACTCAGGAGGCAGAGATCAGGAGAATTACAGAGAAACCAGCCCGGATAAATAGTTCATGAGACCCTATCTGAAAAAAGTCCATCACAAAAAAATGGCTGGTGGAGTGGCTCAATGTATAGGCCATGAGTTCAAACCCCAGTACCAAAGAAAGAAAATTTGTATTTGTTGCTGTTAAGACTATAATGTACATTTGTTATTCATTTGTCTTTATCTTTTTCTCTGCATTCCAACAGCAATTTTACATTCTCACCCCCTCAATTTTCTCTTTAGTCATCATACGAGAGCCCCATAACCGGCCTTTCAGTTCCCAACCTTAAACCATCTCTTCTCTTCCCCAGTTTATACTTTCCACCTGTCAACAATCAGAACCACTTTGTAGCTCTTAAGTTCCCCTTTCTCTGTCTACTCACCCATAGTCCTCCTTCACTAATAATACTTTTAGTGGATAGATTCTCAGATTATTTTTGTAGCTTGTGTTTATATTTGTTTTTCTATTCAACTTTCTCCATTGTTCTCTTCCATCTTAGTATCCACTAGATTTCTTCTACCTATCTAGTCTGCTTCTTCATTAACCCCTTTGATTAGCTCAGCTGCCACCCCGTTCTGCTTCTTAACTTCATACCACATGTTATCTACTAAAGTTATTCCTCATCTCCCTCCCATCACTATCCTTACTACTTTTAGTTTTCCAGGACCATTAAGATTCATCTCTGCTCCAATAGACAACTAAAGATACCAGAACAGTAGCAGTAACTGATGGTCATTAGGGACTACTGTAATTTCAAGGCTACAGCTAAGTCCCCTTGCCCTATGTGGAACAAGGGGTAGCATCCAGCATCTTGAGAACATGAAGCAAAGGGTTTAATATTGAGCAACTACCCCCATCTAGAGACAAGAAAACACACCAGAGCTCAACCACCACCCAGTCCTCTAATCTTTCAAAAAACCCCAACCAAAGGGACACAGGGAATTGAAACCTTCAAACAAAAACAATCCCAGATGTGTAAATCTCAACACAGACACATGAAGCAGCAAGGCAACACCTCTCCCTTAAAGCCAACTCCACCACTAAGGATCTAAACAACATTGAAGACTGGAAAATGTCAAATATTGAATTCCAAAAAAGTAACAGAATGACCAGTGAGCTCAAAGAGGTAACTGATCTCAAAGAGAATACAAACAAACAGATGAATGAAATTAAGAACAACATGCAGGATATAAAAGAGGAAATCATGGATCTAGAAGGAGAGATGAAAATTAAAGGCACAGACAACGTAATCAATAACATAATAACTGAAACATTCCCAAATCTTCAGAAAGGAGTAGCTATTCTGTATCTGACAAACTAAACTTCAAACTAAAATCAACCAGAAGAGACAATGAAGGTCACTTCATATTAATAAAAGAAACAATTCATCAAGAGGAAATAATTCTTTTTTTGTTACAAAATTTTATTAGGATATATTCATTATACAGGGGGATTTAAAGTGACAATTCCAATCAGACTTATATTGTACATTATTTACATTTCCCCCATCATCTCTCCTCCTCAGCATTCTCCCCAACCCACCCAAAGCAATTGCAAGAGGTTTTTTAGTTCTGTTTCATATAGGCATATGAAGTCCACCAACCATATACTGTCACCTTAATCGCCTTCATCCACCCTCCCCCTCCTACTAGTATGCCCCCCCCAAACTGTACCTATATTACAGTCCTGGCTTTTTGTTATTAATATTTAAGTTGGCATTCAAAGAGGTATACCAACGTATGCCCACTGTACTTTACTTTGGGCTGTTTAATCCCTTTGATTGCTCTCCCTTACCCCTTCACCTCCCATCCCCCGTTTTTCAACAGGTTTCAGTATACATCCTTATATCCTCTACCTTCACATCTTATGGTATGTGGTATTACTGATGCTCTATCATTCTCTTTTCCTTCCTCTCTTTCCCTGAGTTCCATAGAGTAGTTCCACTGTTACAAACATGTTCTACTTCTAAGTTTTTATATGAACATGCTTGTTTTTGTATGTATGCTTATCTTTGGATTTACTTTCCATGTATAAGAGAAAACATGCAACTGTTGTTTCTGATCCTGGCCAACTTCACTTAATATGATGTCCTCCAATGTGGTTGAAGTAAATGATGCAACTGGAGGAAATAAACAATTCTTAACATATATAAGCCAAACATCTACCCACCTATATGAAAAAACACTAACAGATTAAGCACAGATAGACCCAACCAGTGATAGTGAGAGATCTCAATACCCACGGTCACACAGATAGTTCATCCAGACCAAAAAAAAAAAAAAAAAAAATCAACAAAGAAAGTTCAGAATAGACAGTTTAGACCAAATGGACCTAATAGACATCTACA